GGGATGGATTATCTCAATATAGCAGATGTGCCCACTACCACACATTTGGACTGATTTGTGACCACTGTTTGGGAGGGATGGTTATATTGTGTATCTGGAATGAATTTTAGGTCTCTACGTCCATCCCATGGGGAATGGGAGCAAAAACAAAAGTGTTGCGTTTATATTTTTGTTCAGTGTATAAGACTTTGTTAAACACCTTGTGTAAGGTTTATGTTACCTCTCACCTCTTCATGATGTGTTTACCAATCTCTGTGGAACCTGTGAAGCCAAGTTTCCGGACGTCGGGATGGTCGGAGAGACGCTGACCCACCAGGGCACCTAGAATAAAGAACAAGATGCATAGCAACTCACGGAGCTTCATTAGGTGACCTCAGCTTCATGTCATGAATGTTTATGATCCAACCTGATCCAGGCAGAATGTTAATCACTCCTTTAGGCAGTCCCGCTCTTGCTGCCAGTTCAGCAAACTTCAGTGCTGTCAGTGGGGTGACCTGAAAACAAACAACAACATGAATGACCCTGTGGTTTTAGCTTTTGTGGGTAGCATGTGTGACATGGGAGTCTGACCTGTGCAGGTTTGAGGACCACTGTGTTTCCAGCTGCCAGGCAGGCTGCTGTCTTCCAGGCCAGCATCATTAGAGGGTAGTTCCAAGGAATCACAATGGCACAAACTCTGAGGACAGATAGAGAGCATTTGAAATACTTATCACACCCATTTTATAACATCTTGATTGAAATCCACCTGTTTGAAGATTTTCTGTCAAGCACATATATAGTTTGTTCTTTACAAATATCCCTTAAACTACTAATGTGGTTCATAAAAAGCAGTAGTTTGTTCGGCTTTCGAACCAAAGGCATGTTAGCTTTAATGTGAATGTACAGTGCTGTGAAAAAGCATTTGACTGAAATGCTTTGTTAGTTTTACATCAGATGCAACAGGATACAAACCCTTCAAAAGGTCCACAGAATATTTTCCTAAATGTAATTATTTTTGCAGGTTCCACTGCAATGCTGTGTAGAGTATGACACTTTTCAAATCTCTATTCTCACCCCATTGGTTCCTTCTTGGTAAAAGTCAGGTTACGATTGGGCCTGGCCTGGTTGATGGGGATGGTGCTGCCCTGTAAAAGAACAACATCATGTTGTTTGCATGTATTTACACATCTGTAACAGATGTATCAGACTGTCAACTGACAACGTGACAGGTGCAGGCTTTTAAGCCAGCTGTCTTACTTGGATCTTGTCACACCAGCCAGCAAAATAGCGGAAAGTCTGGATGGACATGCCCACGTGGGTCTTGAGGGCCAGAGTGTACACAGCTCCAGAGTCAATGGCTTCAATAGTGGCCAGCTCCTCCTGGTGCTCCTCCATCAGGTCAGCCAGCCTGGAGGTGGGTTAACAGCGAAGACATATTATGAAACACAACTTAGACAACAACTTTTCTTCACTAATACTATCAAAGACAAACAAACCTACTGAAGGCATTTACTCCCTTAGAACAAAGATATTAAAGCGGTTCATGCTATGGAGATGCTCACTTTACCGTAAAGAGAAATGGGCCATAAAGCTAAGAAAAAAAATATGGATGAAGTTTTTTGACACTCCAGGGTCATATATCTGACCTGTAGATGAGTCTTCCTCTGTCCCTTGGGTTCATCTTGCCCCACTCTCCCTCTTCAAAGGCCTCTTTAGCTGCAGCCACTGCCCTGTCCACATCACTGATCTGGGCCAGAGACACATCGCAGATGGCCTGCAGGACACACACAGGACAGACAAGGAAATTAAAGATGGCAAACCTCAGTTATGAAGACATGGCCTCCAATCCTGATGAGATCACCTTCAGCAGTGGAAAGAGAACTTCCCTTTTTTGTAGTTTTTCCCCCTAAACTTTGTTAAAATAAGCTTTAAACAGACTGTAGCACTATTTTTGGCCATCATCATTTGTTGGTCACTAAAGACAGGGGATTTTAATATTTGTAACCCGAAAAAGAATCAACAGCTTCAGCTTCCATCATCAGTTGAGAAAAGAAATGGTTGCTTTTCATTATAGATCCCTGCCAGTGTATGACGCAGGACACAAAGTTATTACATTACAGAGAAGACATTACTCGATATAATAAAATATTATATAGGACATGAATTTTGCATTTTTTGTCATTTCTTTTTCTCTCACCGTGCCGTCAGTGGGGTTGATGGTTTTGTAGGTCTTTCCTCCCTCTGCATCAACAAACTCTCCGTTGATGAATAACTGATGAGGCATCTTTATTGTCATGTTGTTTATGTTCTTCTCCACCTGAGCAGGTAAATGATACACATTAACACACGGCTGTTTCCTCTCCACGTATCCATAACTAACAAAGGGAATTTCAAACACTTACATAGTCGACTACCAACTCCTCTTCATCGTCCTCCCCTCTGAGCTTCCTCACACACATTTGGATGAAATCCTGAAAGGTTGTATTCATGTAGACATCCTCGTTCTGCAGCTGGCAACTGCTGGCTCGAAGTTTCACCTCCTCCACCAGCCTGAAGACAGAGAAGAGGCAAGATGGAAAATGGGGGATAGAAAAGATATGGGGGACAAGAAAAAGAAGAGAAGATTAGGTGAAATAGTGGTAAAAGAAGGAATGCTTGGATTAAAGCACTGATATCAGGTTGTAAAATACTCTTTAAGGAGAAAATGACCTAAACTAAAAACTTACTTAAATAAACCTACACATATAAACCTGCACACATATACATAATATTATTGGATTGTAGCTATCTGAGGTGGATTTATGCGTTTAGCCAGGCTTTCTTTGCATTTGCTGGCTTGACAATACCTAAAGCCTCAGTTGTAGATAACGGGTACCACATAATAGACATCGAGCAAAATCCAATGAAATTTGGTGGAGAGGTAGAGCACAAGTGCAGAAAGAATGAGTTACATGTTGATGGAAATTGGTTAAAAAGTATTTTGGACACTAATGATTATGCACAGGCAACCCGCTCAGTGCCTGGTTTCACTGAGCCCAAACAAAACTGACACTTAAAGCTGCTGCTTGTTTGTTACATAATTCTGTCATTGTTTAATAACTTTAATGTATTAAGATTTGTTCTACACCATAGCGAAATAAACACAGACTGGAACTGTATGTTACATAAGTGATGAACAATAAAAAGAAAATTGACATGGTTTTGTATTTTTCCCTGTATCACCTGACCACATCCATGGAAGCAGCACCAGATTTGAAAAAATCTGTGGAGTCTTCAATCTGGCTCACATTACTCAGGATACTCTGCCACACTGCCTGGAAGACATGATGTTAAAAGTCAGCACAAAGACAAAATCTAAACTGTCAGCTTAACGTTTTCTTGAATCAGTGGGAGAGGAGGGCCTACCCTCATCTGTACAGCGAAGGTTTTCTCCTCCTCAGTGAGCTCCACAGCAGCACTGCTCCCAGAGCGAAAGTACTGCGCTGCAGCAATCATCTTTCCATCCTCAAACTGCAGATTCTTCACCAGCAGCTGCAGAGAAACACAAAATGCGACACCACCTGTTTTAATCAATGCTGTACTTTGCTAACACACTTCAATGTCTCCATTGAGGTCAACAGAATACGTTGAATGGACCACAATTTTAATCAGAATTATGATTTAAACATTTTATTCAATTCTTCTTGTATATCAGGATCCATTAGATTGGATGGGAAGTTTCCATGAAGCACCACCATCACCATGCTGAAGTGCCTCAAACCTCTGCAAGCATTTTAGTGAAGAAGAGGAATATTTGGCTAGCTTGCCAACTTTGCGTATTGTTATAGCTCTTAAAATCATCATACAAGCACAGGTAAAGTTTATGTATAAAATAAATTATCACTCACACACAGACACACACTCCTATTGCACTTTTTCATATGCCCAAGCTCGTTGTCTAACTTTTAACACACTCCAGTGAATGCATCAGGGACAACTCAGGGTTTAATATATTGCTCAAGGACATGTTTTTGCGAATAAATGAATGAGGCAAGTTGTATGAAGAACTTTGAGTGCTCAGGTAGAACAGAAAAGTGCTACACTATTACAATTGGTAGACAACCCACTCTAGTATCTGAGTCAGAGTCATATAGAAAAATAATGATCCTAAAAAATAGTCAGCATTATAACAGGGAATTTCAAGGCAAGTGACTGCAGTGTGTTCTGCAATTCAGACTAAGTAAATGGTAAATGGCCTGCATTTGTATAGCGCTTTACTCAGTCCCTAAGGACCCCAAAGCGCTTTACACTACATTCAGTCATTTACACACTGGTGATGGCAGCTACATTGTAGCCACAGCTGCCCTGGGGCGCGCTGACAGAGGCGAGGCTGCCGGACACTGGCGCCACCGGGCCCTCTGACCACCACCAGTAGGCAAACATGGGGTTAGTATCTTGCCCAAGGATATTTGCGTGGCCATGATTGGTGGCTGACCTGCTCTGCCACCTGAGCTACAGCAAAGTCCAATACTTCATCAGTGATCTATGGAATGCAGTTTTTTGTAAGTTAGCAACATTTTTATTGAAAGAAAAATAACAAAATTAAACAAGAACTCTGACTAAACAACTTATTTTCTGCCTAATTTACTTTTTTGTCAATTCCATGTTTTGAAAGTCCTCACAAAGGCCAAGTAACGAAACCCCAAGTTGCTCTTCAAAGCATCCACTGGAGCGTGAATGTTAGCTGGAAACTACTTAAGCAGAAAAATCAGAGATCCCAACACCGATTTTATTTTAGTCAGCAAATAGAAAATGGTCAACTTTTCTATCAGTGAATGACTGAATTAATGAAGACAAATGAACGAGAATGAATGAGAGTTCAGCTCTAGACTAGCTGAACTCTAGTGCGCGCAGTCAGTTTTACCACTGACTAGTTTAATCCGAGCCTAAATGTGCCTAGAGAGCATTTCCATGCATGTTGACGGTACAGTGTCCTACAAAGTCCAGTGCTCTAGAGGGCGCTGTGACGCCTGTTACACACTGCATAGACGGTCACACATCCATAGGTAGCAAGCAGGGTGAGCTGAAAATAACGGAGAAGCCTTACAATGGCCACAGCTACCCTTCAGACATTTAACGTGTTCCTGACGGAAAGACTAACCGCAGCTGCGGTGGACATCTACGGATTCGTTGAGAAGACCCTGGTAGAGTACCAGGAGGAGGTGTACCGAGCCAAGCTGGAGAACCAGAGGCTGCAGCGGCTGCTGGACCTCGTCTACAAACCAGAGATACGGCTGCACAGGGCAGGTATGTACCCCAGGTTACTTCGGCCAGTTAGCATCTTATTAATAACCCAATAAGTGATTCAGCGACGTCGGACAGAAAGTTACATTTATATTCACAGCATTTAGCTAGCAACATTAGCAAGCAGTGTTAGCCATATAGTAAAGGAGCGTTAAATTTCCGGTGAGCTTATTTCCAATGTCCTCAAATAAAACAGTACAGTAAGGATGCTGTTTATCGAAACATGAGTTCAAATGACAGTCAAACTGCGGCAGGTCGCACTTATCATATCAAAGAGGACCGTCGTTCATTGTGGTTACTCTGATCTCAGCGTGTGCGCGTTAGGACGCAACTTAAATCCTCCTTTTATAGTTGAGCTACATGACCCTGCACCCTTTGAGCCAATCAGCCCGCGAGTTTAACACTTGTTCTTAACATTGTTTGGTGTAGTGAACACATCTGTATATAATTATAGATACGGACAAGCTGTTTTGAAGCTACGTACAGTATGTAATATATATACACACACACACACACACACACACACACACACACACACACACACACACACACATGTCATAAGCTGTTTTGTATTATTTATGAAAACGTCAGTCTTGTACAGGAGTGTCAGTTGTGCTCTGTACAGGAGTTCTAGTGTAACTGGTTTTCATGTTAACTGGTGAGTTTTCTTCATGTTGTCCAGATGTTGCATCTGCAGGTTCCCTTTACCACAACTAGTCTGCACTGCCCGACAGTGTGCCTTCAAATTTGATTAAATATTAAAAATATCACCAAGTTCAGATATTTATGTGTGAATATTATCTTCAGATAACAATCCAAATTATTCTGATCAAAGGTAATTGTAATTAATTGGGTGGGGGAAAGCAGCACTCAGACAGGACTCGTACTTGTATGTTTCTGTTACATACATCAAAAGCGATCTGACCACCGATCAGTTCGATGTAAACACCTGTGTTACCTTCCTATTTAACGAATGTGAAATGATGATTGTAACATTTTAACACACTTTGCAGGATGTGACATCATGGCATTGTTTTGTATAAACTCTCAACTCATACAAGCTGGTGAAAGCTTATGTTTGCCCTAAGAATCACTCCTAGTACTCTATTACTCTCTTGTTTTTGGGTGGATCCAGTAAGAAAGTGTCGGGATTATAATGTTGATACATTTGTAAAAATGAAACAAAACTGAAAATGTAAATATTTATTTTGTAAATGTTACAATAATGCTAGTGAACAAGGGCTGCAACGATTTATCGAGTATTTTGTTAAAAAAATCTTGATACAAATTATTTGATTCGATGCTTCACTTAAGGAACGGCTCTGTAGCGCGCCATTGTCACCATGGAAACACGAACGCGAGCGTTTCACCCACATTAGCGGCTAAAAACAGACCTGCGATACAAACGTATTTAGGGGAAGCGTGTGGATTATAAGTCTGACAACATTAAGCCCACGCAGGGGTCCAGTTTGAAACAAAAACACTGAGAGCACAACAGCAGCAGTGATGATGACCCTGGCACCGTTAAACGTGGAGCCCGAGCCTGTTTACACACCGCGAAGAGCAAAGAGGCGGAGCGGTTACCGAGACGGTGAGCTCGGGTTGACTGATAGAAAACAGCGGCGCTGTTCCTGTGATCACCATTAAAACCTTTACTGGGAAAAGCGAGCGAGTCCTTCATCAGAGATCCTGGTTAACAAACTCAGACGTGAAGAGAAACACATTTTGTAGCTGCTCCATCCTTCACCGTTTGTTTTACACAGAGAGAAATCTGCAGTAAGTCTTCAGAAGTTGTATTAAAATATGCAGATGAACTGTGAACTCGGTGTGCTACATGTTTAATTATACAGCTTGTTGAATATGGCGTTATTTTTGTGCCACTATTATGAGCGCACGTAAAAAAAATTTGAGCGCACGTAAAAATAATTTTTGCAGGTAGGGATGTGCGGATCGATCCTGAAATATCGATTCCTCCGATACCAGTCATTTATGTTCTAGAATCGATTCTCACATTAAAATATCGATATTTTAGTAATTTAGGGTAAATTTGTAGTTTATCATTAACAGGAACAAACTATATCATTCGGATTGTCTACATTGGAAGGAACTATTCCTCTTCCGCGTGAAATACAGCTGTATAAATAGGATAATTGAAGTAATGTGCGTAATTGGAGTCATGTGCGGACGTATTTTACATCCACAAACAGCCGAGACGTGGTTTGCAATACATGTGGCAAGAAAGTGAGGTGTCGTGGCAACACCACAAATTTGTCAAACACCTCAGAGTAAATCATATCAGAGAATATGACGAGCGTATGTTGAGGCAAACTGAAGAGGAGGACATGGACAGGTGCTGCTAGGGCGAGACAGACGTCTCTCAGGGAGTCCTTTAGTGCTGCAGGCAGGCAAGGTGTTCAAACAGCCACAACTTCAGGTTTTTTATTTCTATATGATGAACTCTGCATTATTAAGTGATAAGAACAAGTAATCTGATGTCCTGTAATCATTATGATGCTATAATTTGAGATACAATAAAAGATACAATAAATAAAATACGGTTTTGTATAAAGTATCGGATCAGTATCGTCGATACCACCCTGAATTTTACTTGGTATCAGATCGGAAAGGAAATCAGTGGTATCGCACATCACTACTAAATGGATTCGGGGATATTGCATTTCATCATTTCGAGCTGATTGGAGAACAAAACAGCCAATCAGATTTTTTTGCATCCAAGTCTGTGATTGGCTGGTTTTGTGGCACAAATATAACGGCGTACAGAAAGAGTTGAGCACGCACGGGCAGAACTGTTGAGACTGCAAACAACACATTGCGAGCAAGCGCAAATGCAAAAACTGAGCGAGAGGGGCTGCTATTGTGTAGTGATGTGCGATACCACTGATTTCCTTTCCAATCCGATACCAGGTGAAATTCAGGGTGGTATCGATGATACTTATCCAATACCGATACTTTGTACAAAAACTTATTTTATTTATTGTATCTCAAATTATAGTGTCATAATGATTACAGGACATCAGATTACTTGTTCTTATCACTTAATAATGCAGAGTTCATCATATAGAAATACAAACCGGAAGTTGTGGCTATTTGAACACCTTGCCTGCCTGCAGCACTAAAGGACTCCGTGAGAGACGTCTGTCTCGCCCTAGCAGCACCCGTCCTTCTCCTCTTCAGTTCGCCTCAACATACACTCGTCACATTCTGTGATATGATTTACTCTGAGGTGTTTGACAAGGTTAGTGATGTTGCCACAACACCTCACTTTCTTGCCACATGTATGCAAACCACGTCTCGGCTGTTTGTGGAGGTAAAATACGTCCGCGCATAACTCCAATTACGCTCAGCCAAGGGGCCGCGACACATTTATAAAGCCCTATTTCACACATAACTATGAAAGGCAGAAGAGGAAGTAGTTCCTTCCCATGTAGACAATCCGAATGAAATAGGTTCTTTCCACTGTGTTCCTGTTAATGATAAACTACAAATTTACACTAAATTGCTAAAATATCAATATTTTAATGTGAGAATCGATTCTAGAACATAAATGACTGGTATCGGAGGAATCGATATTTCAGTATTGATCCGCACATCACTAGTATTGTGTGTGTGTGTGTATGGATAATAGCAAACACTGAAATACATTTTTTGCACGCAGCAATGAATTTTGTTCACTCAAATTTAGCTTTTCTTCGCTCAAAATAAATTTCTCCTCAATTTGCAACACTTGCACCTGGATTTTTTTTACGTGCGCTCAAAAGTTTTTTTTGAATAGTGAATAGTGGCACAAAAATAACACCATAGTTGACGGCTCACGGCTGCTGTCTTAGTTTACATGGAACCGAACAGGGGTGTGTCTAAAGGGGGCGTGGGGTGCATATTTATTCCAAAGTTTTTGCAACATTTTTCAGATTGAAAGTGAAATAATCTAAAATATTTTCTTGAACTGCATTAATAATACTAATAGAAATTCTAAAAAAAGGGGTTTTTATTTGTTTTTTGTTTTTCAAACAACCCAATACAAATATACATGGGCCAGTAAAACTCTGAGCCACTGACCTGAACATTGTTAAAGTGGACATCAAATTATCATTAATATTAATTAATGTGTACACTATACCCATCTTGTTTTCAGCAGCATAAAAACTTTGCATCAAAGCACAGGGCAAACTATAGTTATATATTTTGTATAAGAAAATATTATTTTACTATAAATGTCATTGTAGGGTCTACCTTACAATCTACTGGAGTTGGCCACTCCTGAAATAGTTGAACAGTTCAGCCATGTTTCCCCACACTGGAGCTGTAGCTCAGGAGCTAGAGCAGGTCATCTACTGCTTGGAAGGTGATTCCTACTCTGCATGCCACATATCCTTGGACAAGATATTAACCTTGCTCTCCGATGGATCCATCAGAGTAATAATGTGAAGAGACTCCGGGAGAGCAGAAAAGCACTAAATAAGAATCAGTCAATTTATCACATTGTAGATTTGGAAAATTAGCATTCTTCATGAAGTTAGTGGGGTTTATGGAACAAGCTTACAGAACTGGTGTTTTGGTGCAGACTGGCCCATTTTTACCTGATAGACACGATGCAACCCAGTGTTTCCAGAGTAACTTTGGCTCTGGTTTGGCTCTGTGTCATTCACTGTGTCAGAACACATGACATTTTGTCAGCCTGTTTTGTTTACTGTTAGCTTACAGCTTTGTAGAAGTTCCTTAACCACTGTTCATTGACCTGTATATAGTTATCAGCATAAGGTCATGGTTGTGACTTATCACACAGGGCAGTTTGCAGTCTAAGCTGGTGGCTATTTCACTTCACTTAAAAAAACCAAAACAAACCAAAACAAAAAAAACTTACCAAAGACTTTTACTGTCTAAACTGAAGTCATAACATACTCCACACATGTTAGTATGTGCACTCTTCTAATAGCAAATGCTGTCCTTTACTTGAAGCCAATTGTAACGCTTAGATCTCAGCACAATACTTGAAGTGTAATGCTTTTCTCTCTCCTTTGTTTGCAGATGCCAAACAACAGCCAACTGAGGACATTCCACCTAAACAGCAAGAGTGGAGCTCGAGTGTGTGGCAGGATGAGCCGGGACCCTCCGAGGTTAAAGAGGAGCAGAGGGAGGAACTGTGGCTCAATGGAGGCGAGGAGCAACCAACGATGGAAGACAGCGATGACGGAGATGCCTTGACAAAAGAACTCATCAAAACAGTGCAGCAGTTAGAGGACTGCAGAGCAGCAGAGGAGAGCAGAGCGTCGAGGCAAACATCTGCAGATGAACCAAACCTTCTGGAAGAGAAGACTAGCACCACCCTGTACCGCTGCCACATATGCAACTACATTTTCACCAAAAAGACTGTGCTAACGTGGCACCTCAAGACACATGAAAGCAAGCCACAGGAGAGCAAGAGCAACTTTGACTGCCACATCTGCGGCAAGCACATTCCCTGCCAGAGCAACCTGCAGAATCATATGAGAGTGCACACAGGAGAGAGACCCTACAGCTGCCATTACTGCGGCAAGTGTTTTAAGCTGAAAGGACACATGACAGAACACATAAGGACTCACACAGGGGAGAAACCTTTCAGCTGTCACATCTGTGACAAATCCTTCAACAGGGGTTCTACTCTGAGGAAGCACGTTCTAGCCAAACATAAAGAGGAGAGGCCGTACAAATGCGGGGACTGCGATGAGCTGTTTACAGAGCGGCTGCTGATGAAGAGGCATATGAGAAAGGTTCACGGCATTAACCTGTCCACAAGTCAGAGTCCCACCTGAGAGGTGTTAGAGCTGATGGCGCATGTAGTCGAAAATCTGAGTACAGAACTGAGCTTGTCTTTTGAAATTTTCAACATGTACACAACAAAATCAGCAAAGCAGCCAGACTGCCATAAATGGGACTGAATCCAAACACTCATGCCAACTCCAAATGTTGTCCAGAGATTGCAATAAGATAGAAAATATACTGAAATTGGCTTTAAATTTGAAATTGTGGGTTGTATACTTATATGCAGGTTGGATGGAAAATGAACTCTCATGTGTCTGCAGTAATTATTGGACTGGAGTCAAGAGACCATTAGTTTGACTACAAATTATGCACCAGTGTAGGGCGTGACAGTGGATCCAAAGACTTTATTCCGATACTTAATGGCAGCCGGGGTGATGTTGGTTAGCCGTAGAGGTCTCTGTGTCCATCCATGGATATGCTTCTGCAGACCACCACCAATGCAATCATTCTGAACAATGTCACAAGCAGCGTAATGTTCTTTCACGTCTGTCACATGTGCTCAGGGTGAACCTGCTCTCATATGGGAAAAGCAAATAGTCCCAGTGGTATACCTGCCAGTTCTGGTATTCCATGGAAAGTTCCAGTCACACTCCACAGCGTCGGGCAGTGAGCACAGGGCTCACTAGAGGCCCTCATGAAGTCTGTTGACGATTATTTGGTCTGAGACTTTCACATGCTGGAGTCCATTTTGTGGCTCTGACAGTGCTCACAGACTGGTTCCATTGGGGGGCGGGGTCAGTGGTCTCCACCTGTAAAACCTGTTTTGGGGATTGTCTCATTGTTGCTCCTCTTGTGAACCTCTTGGTAATTTCAGCTGAAACTGATTAACAGCCCTTTCTGCTACTTAGCTGACAACATCAATATCCCAGAGATTTCAGTGGCTTAATGTCACACTCCGATTACAAAGTGTTTTTTAAGCAGCACTTTGTTGTTGTAACAAGACAAACCAGCAGCTAAAAGATTACTGATTTATAACAAAACAAGATGGGAACAAATAATGACAAAAACAACATAAACGAAAAAGACAAAAATACTTTTTTCCATCTAACTTGCATACAAGTACATTTCCCCAAGTGCCTATGAAGTTATGATAGAGGGAACAGTTTATTACCGATCCCGGGTTTTTGCTGAGGTAAGCTAACTTCTTCCTGACTCGGACACTAAAAAGATACTGATTAAAAATGTACTTTTTAAAATATTCCCATTTAATTCAACCAAGCATTCTTAACTACTTTCAGTGCTGAGCAGGACTTTAAACACTGGAAAATACAGGTTTGGACAGTTCAGTAACCAGCACCTGTAGAGACTACGTACAAAACACACGTTGGCCAGCTGAATATTTGTTTTTCATATGCACAATACTGTAGATACAGCTGGATGCTGGAGGACTGTTTGTCTACTGCTTTTCTGGTACTGTGGACTACTTACTAAACTCTACATTCCTGTTCTGTTTAGAGCCTCTAATAAACACTAACATATTTGGCAAACACGAGTATTAAACAGATGACAAAGTTCAACCTGATCGAAAAATAGTTTTTAAATCTAAATTGCACCATAATATCAAATGATGCTGTACGTCATGTGTTACTGATGTTGCACTGTAAAATAGATTTATATACTGTATATATTTTGCCAAAGTTATTTCACGATGATCCTGTTATGTGAACATAAAAATATAAAGCTAAAAAAAGTCATATATCCAGTTTCACAGTGATCTCTTTGTTCCTTTGCTCTGTCAGGTTTTTCTAGCGTAAATGTCTCAAAATCTTCTCTCTGCAGTCGTGACACGAGTGTAGAGTTTTTGTCTGAGCATCCGTGGAAAGAAAGGATGCAGAATAACGAGCTGTGGGCTGCATTCCAAGACCAAATCACCTCATAGCTGAAGGACTGAATGTGATACTTCTGGTATTACTACACAAGTCAAGCCTAGTAGGAAGGTATTTGCTTTGTTCTGACAATTGCTGTCCCTGCCAGTGAAAAGCACCCGAATATCTGCAAGTGATGTTTTCACCACCACAGTCAGGGTGGTCTTCAATTAATTCAGTAACAAGATGTAGCTATATCGACACAGTGATGGGGCCATTGTATGTCTGAGCCAATCATTTCAGATATGTACAGCACTTATCTGTAATGTGAATTCTGGAAATCTAGAACAGTTTCCTGAGATTAATAATCTCACTTACAGTCTTGCCGTCATTGCCAAACAGCACCAGGCCAGATTTAGTGACGATACCGGGTTGGCTGGCTCCAGGGATTTCCAGGGGTTGACCATTAACTGCGGTCCCATTATCCACCAAAGAGGAGCCATAGAAAGTCACTTTCTACAGAGAGAGATGTAAAACGGGACTCAGTCCAAACGCAGTTGCTCATCATGTTTTGATTCTGCATGTCTGCGTGAGCCGTCGCTCTGATCCGGTTAAAATTCAGAAGTATTGTGTCAAACATTTTTTATTTAGTCAGCTGTACAGGATACAGACAGAAAGCATTAAGAAGCTGTTACCTGTCCATCGACCTCGGCCCAGGCTCCCGGCACTTTGTCGTTTCCTCTGATCCAGTTGTGGAGAGCCTCAGCAGACTGGTTCCAGTCAATCTGTTAGAATTTCAAGCAGTCATCACTGCCAGTTCAAATCTAAATGCTTCACCACAGCGGCTCAGGAGGAGTGGGATGTCTGCTACTGAGCGTGTTGGTGGGTCGATTCCTCAGCCACTCCAGTCTGCCTGTCAAAGTACCCTAGGGTTGCACTGATGCATCCATGTGAGTGTGTGTACCAATGTAAGTACCAGTCCGTTTACCTTTTACATATTCTATCTACTGGATCCTTACACCACATGTCCTTCATGATGCATCCTCTTAAGGGATTTGCATGTCCTTCCTGTCTCAAAGTGGGACTGTGTGTTAGGTGAAAGTGTAAATCACTACAATGTAGGTAACATCCAGAAACTGTACTTTGTTCCTTGTATTGCAGCAGCAAGAAAAAGCTCACATTTTCAAAGGCAAAGGTTTGAATTGAAATGTTTCCCTCCACATGTACAGTGAACTGCTGGTTCATTGTACATGTGACCTTGTGAGATGCATCCATTGCCACTGCCTTGGGAGTCGGTCTGAGTCTGGGTAATCTGATCTGATATTTCTAAAAGTATGTAGGAGAATTTTTCTAAGTAACAACAACTGAGTTAAAACTATCAAGAGAATGAGAAGTAATAATCACAGTGACTTTATATCCAAAGTGTTTGCATGTAATACCAATTTGTACCACAGGATGGTAATCTAACCTTTATTTAACGACGCAAAAGAACGCTTTCTTATTTACAACTATGGTTTTGGATAAGCCTCTTTACATCATGGTCAGTTGAAAGAATAGCAGCACACAGATTTATATGTGTATATATTCACAAAAGATATAATCAGAAGACAGATAAAGACGGCAGCGCTGAGATGAAGGATGTCAATTCAAGTCAGACTTTGACAGAACAGGAGAGACTGCTCATTTAAATGATGGAATTAATTTCTGCAGTTTTCACAGCAAAGCATCACAAAAAGTCATTTCTGCATTTTGTAAAATGTGCTATAAACGTATCAAGACCACATTATTATCAGCATAAGAAAAAAACCCTTAATTTTAAGCTTAACTAAATATCCCATAAAATAATAATAATAATAATAATAATAATAATAATATTATAACTATAACTAAATAATATATAACTAATGATATTTGTAAATCGACGAACGAACGAACAGCAGTGACCGACACTCTGCATGTTTGTGTCTGTGGATGTAATGTGGCGTAGCTACACTTGTGTTTTACCTTGGCATTGTCCTTCTTTTGGATGCACTCATACGTGGCTCCCTCCGCTGGCTGTGTGATCTTCGGGGCCTTCCCCTCTGCAATCAGCCTCACAGCTTCCACCTGGAACCAGAAAAATGCAGTTCAAGCTGCGCTATCTTAAATTGCATGAGCTATCTTTCCGAACTTTGTCATCACAGTATTTACGATGTTGGGAAACTCGCAGCAGGCAAATCACAGGACACAGGCAGAATGATCAGTCACATAAAACACAGATAACTAACTCTATAAATATAATAAAACAAACTTCATTTCTGTTACAGGTTGTTTTTTCCAGCACTTCAAGGCGATCTTTAGCTTACCTTTAGCATAGCAAACTGTATTAACTTCACACCATTGCAAGAGAAAGCAATATGACTAGACTGATTCAAAGTATGTCCTGCAGCTACAGCATAATAATGATTTCACATTTAAATAAAAAACAGCTTTATGATCACCAGTTCATTTCATAACCAAGGAACTGACAGGATGGTGACCGTGGTCAAGATACACACTGTATAAAAGATGAACATAGCCACCATGATGTCACCTATTGTTCAGTGAAGTCTGATTATGAAAACAAGCGCCATCAACCCCAAAAGGTCAGGGCAGATGACGCTCCTCCTGGTTCTGCTGGAGGGTTCGTCCTGTTAAAACAGGAGGGAGTTTTTCTTCCCACTGTTGCAGATTGTTTGCCAATAGTGGGTAGTCTCCTTGGTTTTCTCTCTATTATTGTAGTGTTTTTACTTTATAATGTAATAAAAAGACCTTAAGGTGACTGTTGTTGTAATTTGGTGCTATCTAAAAAACTGAATTCAATAAAAGTTGTCTAAATTCCTTTTATGCTGTAGAGCAGGGGTGTCAAACACAAGGCCCGGGTATCAGAGTCAGTCCTGCAAACACTCCAATCTGGCCTCCTGAACGGCTTTGGAAAATATGACGATTTGCACTTTTCCTGCATTGATGTAAAATGAGTTTCACATCCCTGTTCTGGAGCGACAGACCCAAGGGCCGATAACCTATAGATTTATGATTTTTACAACCACGGAGTTTCCAAAGTACTGGCCCACAAGAATGAGGGACAATGAATTTTTGCATCGGCATCACCTTTCAGATCAGGAAGTACATACACGAAATATGTCTTATGACGATGCACGAGTCATTATTTTGCATGGACAGTGTTGCATTAATGCTTTTACTTATATTTAAAACACAGGATAGCAGTGCCTCTGTGGCAGAATTAAGTATTACAAAATCTCTAATGCTAACATGACCAGGTAGCTATTAAGAGGTAAAATAAAAGCATGTTAAGATGTAAGTGTGAGGATGAGGATCAAAACAAAGTTGTTTGGGAGAATGCATCCTATCATCTTTGTGGTAGAAGGCCTTGGTGAAGTGTTGCAGTCACATTAAACACAGCTACCACACATTATATTGCACACCTTCCAATGTATGAAATTTATTTACAATAAAAGTGTCTTTGTACCACACTTTCTTTCTTTACTTACTGTGCCTTTTACTCCCTCTGGGAAGAGAAATCTCTTGTAGATGGTGTTGACAGTGTCATTGGGTTCAACATCACACTCTCTCTGCAGCAGGATGGGACCAGTATCCAGTCCGTCATCAGCCCAGAACACTGTAAACCCGCCCTTTTTGTCACCGTGGATCAGTGTCCTGTGAAGACCGATACAGGAAGTGAAATAAAACAGCTGTCACTGTGTCTTGCTTCTCTTCAACTTGATCTCATGAACATCACTTACCAGTTGATAGCAGAGGCTCCCCTGTGGCGAGGCAGTAGGGATGGGTGGTAGATGATGGAGCCATGTCTTGGGTGGTCGATAACCTCCATAGGAATGAACTGGGAGCAGAAGGGCAGGACGTTGAGCTCCGCACCTGTAGCCTTGTATTGAGTCACCACCTCCTGAATAGCCTGGCCCTTGAGTCGCCAGCGGGGGAACTTAAAGACAGGCACGCCATCCTTCTCCGCTTCTGTGGCTGATAAATGATAAAATAACACAATAAATGAGAAAAGCTGCACATCCTGCAACAGTTCTGTTTTCTTTTTCATGTACTGCAGTTATGTCTGTATTTCTATAAATACAGACATAATAAATATATTATAAATATGTATATAAACTCTGACATGTAGAACTACCCCCTGTGATGTCAAATTTTACAAGTCAGAATTTTCCCATTTGCTAAGGCTTTACATGTTTACATGGGTCGGCTTCCAAAAGCAAGCATACAGGAAAATGCCAGAGTAAAGGAGCACAGAGAAGAGTCTGAAATTTACAGGTGTATATTATACAAATGCACTGGACTCATACAGCGCTTTGCTACTTGAACACTTTAGACAATATGCCTCATTTACCCATTCATTCAAGTACTCTGGGCCTAAGTGCATTCTATCTAACATTCACACTGCAGTGAAAACACTGGAGAGCAATTTGCAATTCAGTATCTTACCCAAGGATACTTTGGCGTGCAGTTTTGAGAAACCAGGTTCCCTCCTCAGCTACGGCCATCCCAAAATGTAAACAGCCCGCTGGCTGGACTAAAACTTGTGTGTTTCTGTGACAATGTTCAAATAGTGGAAATCTGATAGGCTATCAACATAGAGTTCAAATAGCAGAATATGGCTTCAATCCATCGACCTCTGGATTATGGGCCCAGCATGCGGTGGTAACTTTCTGTATTACATTGTATATAATGTGTATTCTGTCTGTGTCGTTATTAAGGATCTGGAATTATAACCCACACAAAGGAAGAGGTGAAAAATATAAAAAATAAAAAATTGCTATGTCGCATGTCATAACAATTTCTATAGGGATGGGGTTTTGTGGGAATGACAGTATAGG